TTGGCTGCGACGGTACAACCCGCGAATCGCCTGGACGACGGGTAGCTACACTGCGCGAAGTAGCGGTAAATGGGTTGAATTACCTCGATGGCAGTCACCTGAGTCTTCAACGGTCCACGTCAACGCCATCACAATGAAACGGGCTGTCGCCGCTGGAGCTGACATCTACGCGGTGGATGTCGCAGTGGTGGAAGAAACAGAGCAGCCGAGCAATTTTCAGAAACTGTTGGCAGCAGTACCGCCCGAACTACAAGAACTGTTGAAACGGTACCCAGGGATTTTTCCCGATGACTTACCGGAGGGACTGCCACCTCAGCGGGCACACGATCCCCAAATAGAGTTAGAACCCGGGGCACAGCCAACCGTACAGCGACAGTTCAGACTGACACAGCCCGAGCTCGACGAACTGAGGAAGCAATCAGATTACCTGTTGGAGAAAAAATTCATCCGACCGAGCTCGTCACCGTTCGCCGCACCAATACTGTTCACACCGAAAAAGGGCGCTGAATAGGGTTACAGTCAAATCGCGATACCCCATCCCCTGGGTTATAGATCAACTGCGAACAGCACGGGTCTTTTTGAAGATCAATTTACGAGGAGGTTACCATCAGATTCGGGTCGAACCATCGGACTGTGCCAAGACAGCATTTCAGACTAGGTACGGGTCATTTGAGTACACAGTGATGCCTTTCGGGCTGACCAACGCACCGGCGACATTCCAGACGACCATGAACGAGGCGTTTAGGCCACTCTTAGATAAATGCGTTATAGTTTACCTCGACGACATCCTCGTCTACAGTCGCGACAAGCAGCAGCACTTAGCAGACCTGGAAGCAGTTTTAAAATTTTTAGACGAGCACAGACTACTGACCAAGGGTTCCAAGTGCGAGTTCTTCCAGGATAGGTTAGAATTTTTTGGGCACGTTATTTCAGAGGCTGGAGTCGAAATCGACCCAAAAAAACTAGACACGGTGAAATCGTGGCACCCCCCGACGAACATCACAGAGCTACAGAGTTTTTTAAGGTTTGTTAGTTATGTGCGTCAGTTCGTCCCCGACATGGCACGCTTAACTGCCCCGCTGACGGATTTACTGCGGAAGGAGGTCGCTTTTACGTGGGGGGAGAAAGAGCATGCTGCCTTCTCTGCCCTTAAACATGTCCTCTGTTCACCGCCTGTACTGCACATCGCCGACCCACACTGCCCATTCGAAATGGTTACCGATGCAAGCGACATCGCCATTGGAGCCGTACTGCTACAAGATTCCGGCAACGGCTTACAGCCCATCGCATACGAGTCATGAAAACTACATCCGCCCGAGAAAAATTACCTGATACACGATCGCGAAATGCTTGCGATCGTGCATGCGTTCAAAGTGTGGCGCTGTTACTTGATCGGCGCAAACGTGACAGTATGGACAGACAATAAATCACTACAGTACCTCCGTGCACAGCCCCACCTCAACCCACGACAGATTCGTTGGCTCGACTACCTCGAGACCAATTTTCACTACACGGTCACCTACAAAAAGGGGGCATTGAACATCGCCGATGCACTAACCCACCCCACAGCCCAAATCTACGCTACACTACTCGCCCAAACCAGCCCACTACTGTCAGGACTATTTACCCACAGCTATCAGACAGACCCATTCTTCACAGGAGGAAATTCGCATCAGTTCGCAGCAGCAAAGGGAGTTTATTACGTAAAAGCCGGCACCGATCGAATCTGGGTACCGGGCTACACGCTACTATGGGAATAACTGCTACATGAGGCACACGACGGAGTTACCTCAGGCCATTTCGGAGTAGAAAAAACACGGCAGCAGCTGCAGCGGTATTATTACTGGCCCGAAATGCTGACCGACGTGCAGCGACACATGGCATCGTGTCCCACCTGCCAACTCATGAAATCATCACGGAAGAGGCCGGCAGGACAGTTGCAACCGATACCACCCCCAGAGCGTGCTTGGCAGCAGGTGACGATGGACTTCGTCACGGGGTTACCGGCCGGAGAAAGTGGGAACGACGCGATCCTGGTCGTCGTCGATCGACTGACGAAAATGGCACATTTCGCAGCCTGCAAGAAATCAATCACAGCCGAAGAAACAGCCCGCCTCTTCATCTCCACCATCGTTCGACTACACGGGATACCAGCAGCGATCATCAGCGACCGCGACACGAAATTTACCAGCAACTTCTGGCGGAACCTGTGGCAGCAGTTCGGCACGCGACTACAATTTAGTTCTTCGTACCACCCCGAAACCGACGGACAGACAGAACAGACAAATCAGACCATGGAGCAACTCATCCGAGCCACGTGCGACGACCGGACCACCTGGGAACAGCAGCTGCCACTCATCGAATTCGCGTACAACAATTCGCCATCCGCCACGACCCAACAGTCACCGTTTTACCTGAACTACGGACAAGACCCGACAGTGCCCATGACCCCGAATCCCGACAACCCAGTACCACGTGCACAACAGTTCGCAGAAATCTTACAAGCAACACGGACCCGGGCAGCCGAGGCAATTAAAAAAGCCAACGTCATCGCTAAGCGTAATGTCGGCCGCCACCGCAGACCTGTCACTTACCAGCCTGACGACCTAGTTTTACTCGACACTCAAAACCTCCGCCTGCCCATAACCTCGAAACCCCGCCCCCGATATCGTGGGCCATTTCGCATCAGTCACATGATCACACCTGTCACCGCCCACCTCCTCCTCCCTGCTGACTGGTACGTGAGCCCGTCCTTCCACGTCAGCCTGCTTCGCCCTTACGTACCATCCACCAGCCAACTGCCCCGCAACCGCCCAGCCAGAATGACACGACCGCCGCCATAACCAATCATCACGCCCGAAAAGATTCTGAGCCACCGAGTTCGTGACCCACGGGGAGCTCGAAGGGTCGAATTTCTGATCCGCTGGAGAGACCGCACGCCCACCGAAGACAATTAGGTTCCCCTGAACAGAATCAAAAACCACCTCGTCCTCACCGAGTATCTGCGCAACCGGAATTTCCGGGATGTACACGTGCTTTTGTAAGAAGGGCCTCCTTAAAGGGGTGGGGGTAGTGTAAGGAAAATTCTTTTTCCTTACTTCGCGTCCCTGCTCAGCGCGTACAACACTGTTTCCCGCCAACAACACCCACCAATAATCCGTTACCACTCGCGATATTCGCCTTGCCACGATTCCCGCCACTGTTCACGACGTGACCCAAGCTCACGGCTCGGTTGGTAACCCGCGCCCCGGACCTCCGCCTCGACAATTACCAACCTCAGCACAAGGCCCGGCGCGCACCCCATTTTCTACGTTACCGTTACCACTGTAGCTTCGCTATATATTCTTCGCTCAATCCTTCGCTCATTGTATTCTTGTCTCAATAGTGCAATCCTCGCTTGCTCACTCAATTGCACTCGTAACAAGTACCCTTTCAAGAAAAAATACTCCAAATCCCAGGGCTGACGTTTCATTTTAAGCCTCCCTGATTCCGGGGAAAATTTCCCCCCTCTATTATGGGTGCACATTTTCCAGAAAAGCAGTACCCTGATTGCTCAGGGTTGTAAAGTAGTTAACACTGATTGTTCAGGGTCGAGAACTGAACATCAGAGTAGTAACGCGCGCTTTGTTACCGGGGAAAATATCCCCACTCTCCATAAAGTCTGCGCGCTGTGTTTCCTGCTGGCTGTACACTCGACTGATTTGTGCAGGGCGGGTGTGATTGACCTATCTGGTGTGCGAGTGTAACGTTTCCCTGTCTTATTACCATGCCCAATTGGATCTCTTCAGCTGGCATGCATCAGACACGCTGCGACTGTGGTTAGTCACCCTCAGAGGCGTTCCTTCTGGATCGAGTGTAACGATCGAACGGGCGAGTCACACCTGTTCGAGTCACAGATTTCCGCTGTCAGAGCCTATTTCGACCAATCCCAGCAAAGTATATCTGACATTGCAGATTCACGCGATCTCGATGGTAGGTGTATCAGAACGAAGTTTCGAAGAAACTTCGTCTCGATAAAGCGGGAAGGGGGGGGATTACGCACATGTGGGGGGATCACTGCGATCAATCCAAGGCGGGGTCATCGGAAGGAAACTTCCGAGAAACTTCCTCTCGATAAGTCAGGGTCCACACAGTCGATACTCTGTTAAGTCAGGGTCCACTAACAGTCTAGTCTGTTACACTGTACTCAAAATCAGGGATAGCTTAACTATTACTCTGATTGGATCAGGGCTGGAAATTCAATAACTCTGAAATTTCAGTCTCCACGAAGTGGAAAGCCTGAAATCACCCTGAAATCAGGGTAATTACCCTGATAAAATCAGCCCTGCCAAATCCTATACAGCGGCCTGGTTTCCGCTTCCGTTTTCCTCCACACCCTTGGAGCACTCGTTCTGAAAACGCTGCTTAGAACGTTGGGAAAGTGACAAAACATAACTGTTTATTTGGCTCGACCGAATAGAGGTACTGTACCAAATGTTTAGGGTAGTTACGCAACCGCAAAAGGAGAAGTTGATTCGTAACACATTGATGTTCGTTGAATTGAGGTGACTGTGATTGCTGGATGTGCTAACCAGTATCGCGTACAGACTCAGGATCCTTTTCGCGAAGTGAGCGGCCAATAAGCCAACATCGATGTGCCCACGTGGAGTACGCGTCGCCACGAATATTCCCCGACCTGTCACAGGCAGCGGTGGTGGCAGCGCCACTGCAGCTTCGCCTCCCCCGCGGCAACCCCGCTTGTGCGGGCAAACCCTCAACCACTACCAAAATGAGCATCAACAGCAGCAGCAGCACCACCACCCGAAACATCACATCACATATTGCCCAACAGCAGAAAAGCAATTCCTTCTCGAAAGTCAGTTAGCTAGGTCCATCCGTCTCAGTAACGCATTCTCAGTCATAGCTGCCTCCGCATTCCCTCTGCTGCATCGAGCGGCTGACCATTCGCCTCGTCGGCCGTCCGTTCGCCCCATCGACGGGCTGCCGCGCGGCCCGCCACCATGGAGGCTCGATCTATCGCCGCGGCAGTCCTCGCGTCGTCTCCGCTGCCGCCGCGCGGTGCCGTTTCCAGGCAAGGCGTGGAGATTGCCCGACCGGCTGAGATGCATGCGCTCTTAGGCACGCGCACCGCTGCTGCATCGAGTGCTGCGCGCGCAGAGTGTTGCGCTTCTAACGGGGCTGCTAGCAGCGCAATTGGTGGGACTTCTACTAGGGCTGTTAGTAGCACCACTGCGGGCCATCGGCGCGCTCTGAACCGGACAGATGGGGCGAGGGAGGCGCGGCCCGTCGTTTCGCGGAAGAAGCGGCGCGGCTTGCGGAGAGTGGCGCACCTCTCCGCCGGCGACGGCGCGCAGCCGAGCCCCGAGTCCGCGCGGGCGGTGTGGGCGGAAGTTCTGATAGTGGGGCTGCTGCACTCCACGCGCGGGGACGAGGAGGGCGGGGAGAGCGCTCAGGGGGTTGCGGGGGAAGCCAGTTGCTCGGGCAGTGGCGCGCAGCAAGAGGGGCTTGGCGTGCGTGGGGACGGACTCGCGGGGCAGGGGGGCGTGTGGACTGAGGCGGACGAGGCGGAGCTGATTGCGCGGGCGGTGGGCGGGGCCGTGGGCGGAGCGGTGGTCAATGCAGCGGGGGCGCTTATCGCCGGTGTGGTGTGCGCAGGCGCGGGGGACGCGGAGGGCGCGGAGGCGGCGTGGGAAAAGTTGGGGGCGGAGGGCAGCGCGGGAGTGAGTCTGGCGGGAGAAGCGGAGGCGGAGGGGGAAGGGGGGGAATCTGAGATGGCGCGGGGAAGGCTGGAGCTGGAGCGCGCGCAGTTAGAGCTGGCGATGCGGGAGTCGCGCGGGGAGGCGGAGAGGAGAGAGGCGGAGTGCGGGGCGGCGGAGAGGTGGGAGGCGGTGGAGGGAGAGGCGGAAAGGGGGGAGGCGGAAGCGGTTGAGGGGGCGGTGGCGGCGGGGGAGGCAGAGCTGCGGGAGACCACGGGATCGGGCGAGGGCTTTGAGGAGTGGGGGGGCGCACGAAATGGCGAGGGCAGCGTTTGCGCGGGTGACACTGTTGGGCTGCTGGTTGCGCGGAAGGGCGCAGCAGGCGCGGCGGAGCGCGCGGAGCGGGGGGTGCGCGCGGATGCAGCTGGGTACGGGGAGTCGAGCGACGACGAGGCTGCTGCGGTGGAAGCCAGGCCGGCCGCTTACCCCGCCGCCCTCAACTGTACGTCGTGCCATGTGCCCCCACGCTCTCTCCTCTTAACTGCACCTCAACCTCCCCTCCCCGCTCTCCGCTCCCTTACTCCGCGTGTTCTCACTGCTTCCTGCTCCCCCTGCGCCCCCCCGCTTGAACCCTCTTGCGCCCCCTTGCGACCCCCTGCGCCGCCCCTGGTTTCCCCTGGCGCCCCTGTGGTGAATGCGTGTAGCGCTGCACCCGAGCAACGTGTTCAGCTTGTGAGTCACACTCCCCTGCGCCCCCCTTCTACTGCGCCCCCCTTCTACTGCGCCCCCCTGCGCCCTCCACACCACACCAACCCCCCTCCCCTCCCCCGCCCCCAGCGCTGTACCTGGCGTTTGGTTCGTGGTGCTGGTGCTGGCAGGGGCGGTGGAGCGCATCACTGGCATTGCATCAGGCGTGGCCTTTGAACGTGACTGGGTTATTCTGGTAAGTGGTGGGGGGGGGACACACGGGGGAGGGGGGCCGATGAGGAAGGGTTGGATCCGGTGCTGGCGGGCGTGGTGGAACGAATCACTGGCATCGCCTCTGCTGTGGCCTTCGATTCGAACGTGACTCCGTTATTCTCGTAAGACGTGGTGCTTAGGAAGGGGGATGGAGGAGGATGGGGGGAGTCGAGAGAGGGTGGGTTTACCTTCTGCTTCTGTGTGCCTGTGTTCCTTTTCCACTCTCTTCACTTGTTCGCTCATCTTGCTCTCCCTTCATCAAACTCCCTGTCACCCCGCTGGCCTTCTCACCCCCCTTTTCCCCCCCTCCCACCCCTGTTCTCTTCTCACCACCCGTCCACCCGCACGGCAGCTGGCGGGGCAGGACAACGCGGCAGCGCTGGCCAACGCCAACGCCATGCTGCGCCGGGCCGACCTCTTCTGTGACGTGCGTGCTGCCAGGCAATGCCTTCTAGCCTATCACATGCTGTGGGCCGATCGGCTTAACAGCCTCTATCAGCCTATCAGTCTGTCGTTCGCTCTATCTGTCTATCAGCATATGGGCCTACCAGCCAATGTGCTTTGGCCCTCCCTCGCTTCTCCTTCTCTGCTGCCTCATGCTTCCCCCGTTGTACGCCAACCCAATCACCCTTGTGCGTGCCCAGACTCCTGGTCTCAACATTTTCCCTCCTTTCACCCCTCCCACCTCCATCCAATGGCGTGGCGCCAGGTGGCAGGGCCGCTGGTGTTTGGGTGGCTGCTGTCAGCGTTCAGCCCGGCTGTGTGCATCAGAGCCTCCCTCGCCACCATGCTGCTCTCGCTGCCCATCCTCGTGAGCTGCTCTCCCTGCCCATCACCGTACGTTGCTCCTCTACCTGCTCCTAGGCCGTGTGCGTGGAGTGAGCCCTTTCTATCCCACCCTCCCCACTGCTTCTCCTCAACCCCCTGCTGCTCGAGCTGCTCGTGCTGCTCGTGCTGCGTGTGTTTCTCCCTTCCCTCACGGCTCCGCCCTCATGCTCACTCTCCCCTCCCTTCCCCCTCCCCCTCACCAGATTATCGTTTTGATCCTCGTCCCCCCCCTTCTCTCCCCCCCCTTCTCTCCCCCCCCTTCTCTCCCCCCCCTTCTCTCCCCTCCCTTCTCTCCCCCCCCTTCTCTCCCCTCCCTTCTCTCCCCCCCCATTCAGATCTGCCTCGTGCTGCTCACTGACCGCCAGTCCAATGGTGTGCTCAGCCGCCCCAAGCCGCCTGCTGCGCCACTGCTCTCCCTAGAGCCGCCCTCCACAGAGCCCACCAGCACCAGCAGCTGCATGGACAGCAGGGGAGTGGGGAGAGGTAGCAGTGAAGGAGCGACTGCTGCAGGGGCTGCTGGTTCTGCAGCAGACAGTGGCGCATCCACCCGCTCACCCTCCCCTGCTGCCGGCTTCCCTTCACCCGCGCTGCTCCTCATGTCAGTAGCCCGGGCTGTAGCGGCGGCACTCACTGGGAGCTGCCGGGCAGCCGGATCGGTTCTGGGGATGTCGTTTCGTTCCTCACGCAGCAAGGTGGGTGGGTCAATGCAGGTGATGGTTGGGTGGGTCAATGCAAGTGATGGTTGGTGGGTCAATGCAAGTGATGGTTGGGTTGGGTGGGTCAATGCAAGTGATGGTTGGGTGGGTCAATGCAAGTGATGGTTGAGTGGGTCAATGCAAGTGATGGTTGGGTGGGTCAATGCAAGTGATGGTTGGGTGGGTCAATGCAGGTGATGGTTGGTGGGTCAATGCAAGTGATGGTTGGTGGGTCAATCCAAGTGATGGTTGGTGGGTCAATGCAAGTGATGGTTGGGTGGGTCAATGCAAGTGATGGTTGGGTGGGTCAATGCAGGTGATGGTTGGTGGGTCAATGCAAGTGATGGTTGGTGGGTCAATCCAAGTGATGGTTGGTGGGTCAATGCAAGTGATGGTTGGGTGGGTCAATGCAAGTGATGGTTGGGTGGGTCAATGCAAGTGATGGTTGGTGGGTCAATGCAAGTGATGGTTGGGTGGGTCAATGCAAGTGATGGTTGGTGGGTCAATGCAAGTGATGGTTGGGTGGGTCAATGCAAGTGATGGTTGGGTGGGTCAATGCAAGTGATGGTTGGGTGGGTCACTGCAAGTGATGGTTGGGTGGGTCAATGCAAGTGATGGTTGGGTGGGTCAATGCAAGTGATGGTTGGTGGGTCAATGCAAGTGATGGTTGGGTGGGTCAATGCAAGTGATGGTTGGTGGGTCAATGCAAGTGATGGTTGGGTGGGTCAATGCAAGTGATGGTTGGTGGGTCAATGCAAGTGATGGTTGGGTGGGTCAATGCAAGTGATGGTTGGGTGGGTCAATGCAAGTGATGGTTGGTGGGTCAATGCAAGTGATGGTTGGGTGGGTCAATGCAAGTGATGGTTGGTGGGTCAATGCAAGTGATGGTTGGGTTGGGTGGGTCAATGCAAGTGATGGTTGGTGGGTCAATGCAAGTGATGGTTGGGTGGGTCACTGCAAGTGATGGTTGGGTGGGTCAATGCAAGTGATGGTTGGGTGGGTCAATGCAAGTGATGGTTGGTGGGTCAATGCAAGTGATGGTTGGGTGGGTCAATGCAAGTGATGGTTGGTGGGTCAATGCAAGTGATGGTTGGGTGGGTCAATGCAAGTGATGGTTGGGTGGGTCAATGCAAGTGATGGTTGGGTGGGTCAATGCAAGTGATGGTTGGGTGGGTCAATGCAAGTGATGGTTGGTGGGTCAATGCAAGTGATGGTTGGGTGGGTCAATGCAAGTGATGGTTGGTGGGTCAATGCAAGTGATGGTTGGGTGGGTCAATGCAAGTGATGGTTGGGTGGGTCAATGCAAGTGATGGTTGGTGGGTCAATGCAAGTGATGGTTGGGTGGGTCAATGCAAGTGATGGTTGGTGGGTCAATGCAAGTGATGGTTGGGTGGGTCAATGCAAGTGATGGTTGGGTGGGTCAATGCAAGTGATGGTTGGTGGGTCAATGCAAGTGATGGTTGGTGGGTCAATGCAAGTGATGGTTGGTGGGTCAATGCAGGTGATGGTTGGTGGGTCAATGCAAGTGATGGTTGGGTGGGTCAATGCAAGTGATGGTTGGTGGGTCAATGCAAGTGATGGTTGGTGGGTCAATGCAAGTGATGGTTGGGTGGGTCAATGCAAGTGATGGTTGGTGGGTCAATGCAAGTGATGGTTGGTGGGAGGACGGAACGTGTCACGTGCTCTGCTGGCTCAGCATGGCACGAGAGTCAACGCTGGGGCGTGCGAGTTGGGTGTGGTGGGGCGTGCGAGTTGGGTGTGGTGGGGCGTGCGAGTTGGGTGTGGTGGGGCACTGGCTTGATTGAACCATGCCATGCCATCACACTGTGCTCTCCCCATCCGCCTTATTCCTCCATCTCACCGTCTCACCACTGCTCCACCTCTTGCCCCATAGGTGGTCGAAGTGTCCCATCCTTCCAACCTTACTACCTACCTTGCTCGCACCATTCTCCCATCCCTCTCCATCCCTTGCCCCTGTCAGGAGTGGATGTGTCTGTGATAGGCGCCTTCAGGGGAGCGTGTGCGGCCATGGGCTTCGCTGCCACCTTCCTCTCGCCGCTCCTCATCACCCGCCTTGGCCTGCTGCAGGTGAGAGGGAGGGAGGCGTGCTGCAGGTGAGGCGTGCTGCAGGTGAGGCGTGCTGCAGGTGAGTGAGGCGTGCTGCATGTAAGGTCATTAGATATTGTGCTGTTCCTCCAACGACCCCCCTATCCTACTGTCGCTTAGGTCCCTCTCGCATCCCCTTGCGCCTCCAAGCACCTCTGCCATCTCGCCATCTCCTCGCCTCCTCTATGTCTCCTATCCTCTTCACCAACCCTGCCCCCTCTCTGCCCAGCCTGCTCCCTCATCTCCAATTGCCACCCCTCATCTCTTTACCCCCACCTCACCCCACCTCACCCCACCTCACGCCACCTCTTCCCCCCTTTTCTCTTCCACCAGGCGGGCGGGGCAGCGCTGCTGTTCCAGTCACTGGTGCTGGCGGCCTCCCTGGGGGTCTTCGCCCTCTCACACTCCATGGGCCAACCACCACTCTCTGCTCCTCGCCTTCCTCGCGCTCATCGTGAGTTATCCCCCTCCGCAATTACTCATACCACTAGTGTTACCCCTTAGGTAATGAATCCCGTCAGGTTACCCTGTCGCAAGCTACCCCTTTCACCAGTTACCCCTGACACCCCACAGCATGCCATGTGCAAAATCTCCCTTTTGCCCATGCATCATTCGTTTTGGTTTAACCCAAGCTCTAGCAAGGCTGTGAGTTCTCCGAGGGGAGCCGGGCCACTGATGTTGACTTTTCAATTGTTGCAGCTGCGTGTGACACAACCACAACTGATCAACCTCCTGCTAACATTGAAGCAACTTATTTTTGTTCCGGTGGCTGACCTCATCCCCCTCTCTGGGCAGGTGCTATCGCGTGTGGGTCACTGGGCATATGACATGACAGCACACACACACATCTGCATTACATGTGCCGAAACCCACTGTGCCACCCAACACACCCCTCTGAGCAGGCAGGGGATGTCACGCCTGTGCCACTGGACGTACGACATGGTGCCTGCACACCTCCATCACAGGCACCTCAAACCCCCACCCTCTCTACCCTACCCTTCCACATGCACACCCATCCGCACCCCTCTAGGTGCTATCCTGTCTGGGCCACTGGACGTACGATGTGGTGGATGCGCAGACACATCTTTCATTGCAGCTGCTCCAAACGCCCACCCCTTCCACCAACCCCCTGTGCATCTTTCTTGTGCATCGGGCCTCACACCATGCCTCTTGTGCATCGGGCCTCACACCATGCCCGCACAATTCTTCCCAAACCCCCCGACTCCTTCCTTACCTGCCCTTCCCTCACCCCACCCCTCCCCCACAGCTCACCTCGTCCTGGGTGGCATCGAAGCGCGCAGCCAGCAGGGCGGTGGTGCCGGCTGCCACGCCACAGCGCTGCAGTGACTCGCGAATCTGATGGGCGCAGCAAGGCACAGGCACAGAGGGGTGAGAAGGCGTGAGGAGGGGTAAGGATGGGCACGGAGGTGTAGGCAGGGGCAAGGCGAGGTAAAGACGGGCATGGAGGGGCAGGAAGGGGCAAGGAGGGGTAAGAAGGGGTGAGGCGGGGCAAGACGGGGCACGGAGGGGCATTTCAGTTCAGGGGTGGGAAAGGGAGGAGGGGTGTGAAGGGCAGGAGGTGCGGGAGGGGCAAGAGATGCAGGAGGGGCAAGAGGTGCAGGAGGGTAGGACGGGCATGGAGGAAGAGAGGGGGGCAGTAGGCTCACATGCTTGGAGGCGGCGTAGTTGAAAACGAGCTCGGAGTGCAGGGTGCGCGACTTGAGACACCCTGTTGCTGCTGACGTCAATGCCTTGTGTGCTGCCACAAGCACAGGGAAAGTTCCGGGAACCTGCAGCCGGATGATCGATTCAAAAGATGATATTCCACTATATGGAGGCGGTGCTCCCATGGCACGAGCTCACATGGCACGACACGAGCTCACATGGCACGACACGAGCTCACATGGCATGCTTCAAGCACGAGGCAAGCGGGTGCATGCGAATTTCAAGCATGTGACCAAAAGGTGACATGAATGCTGGCAAGTGCATGCATGTAGGGCCTCAAGTAAAGCAATTTATTGGCCAGCAATAGTGCGCGCCAGTGCATGTGCATTCAATGGCTGCAGTCTCCTCACCAGTCACTTGTTCATGCACTCGTTACAGTCACCTCACCAGCCTCTCATTCATGCACTCGTTACAGTCACCTCACCAGCCTCTCATTCATCCACTCGTTACAGTCTCCTCACCAGCCTCTCATTCATGCACTCGTTACAGTCACCTCACCAGTGTGGCGTTGAGGAAAGCCACTTCAGGATGCATTGTTCCACTCTGCAGTTGACTCAGCAGGTCTCTGCGGGGACAGGGCGGGAGAAAGGGGGAGTGGGGCGAGGGCAGGGAGGGCTGAGGGAGGGCACGGGAGGGATGAGGGCAGAGGGGGAAGGGGCGAAGGCAGGGAAAGGGGCGAGGGTGGTGTATGTGCGCGTGCATTTGTCGCCTCCACTGTAGCACCCCGTGCTGCAGCTGACTCAGCAGCAGCCTCGCGTGTGTGGGGGGGCGGAAGGGAAGTGGGGTAGGGTGGAGGGAGAGGAAGGAGAGGAGTTAGCGTGTGGGGGATGGAGAAGGGAGAAGGAGGCGGGAGAAGGGAGGAGGAGGCGGGAGAAGGGAGGAGGAGGCGGGAGAAGGGAGGAGGAGGCGGGAGGTGGGGGAGGTCGGGTAGGTATGTTGGGAGATGGGAGCAGAGGAGGGATGATGGTGGCGGAGGGGAGTGAGAGGCGCCGCCCACACAGGGGTTGTGCTGGGCAAGGCGGCTTCCGCGCAGGGCAAGGGCGGCCTCCGTGATGCAGTGCGACTCAGCAGAGCCTGGTGGGGGCAGTGGGGTGGGGAGAGGAAAGACCGGAGTGCGCCACGAATGGGCGTGGGCGTGCGCGGTCGCGCGGTCGCGTACAACGACGGGCGAAGAGTGAGGGAAAGACGTGACGGCGGAGGATGGGCGGAGAGGGTCGCGACGGCGGGAGGGGCGAGCGGACGGCGCGGGAGGGTGCGAGCGAGAGGCTCTGGGAGGGTGCGTCTGGGGATGTCGCGGGAGGACGTACGCGGAGTTGGCGACGTCGCGGAAGAGCAGCACGTGCAGCGTGCGCCCGGGAAACGCCTCCAGCTCGAACGCCGCCATGCCGCCTCCTGCGGCGCGCTGCGTGCGGCGTGCGGCGAGAGGCGTGCGGCGTACGGCTGTGCGCGGGAATGGAGTCCGAGGTGGCAAGGGACGCGAGACAGATGAGTGGGGTTCTGCTCTTCGCGTGGATCACGCGATAGCAATCGGCGAGAGGAGCGCGAGGGAATGGCGAGTGAAGCAGCGTACCTAGGTGGCACGCCCTATGACGAGAAGGTTTCAAGCGCCGTTTCTAGACGCAAAATGGCCGTGGAGGGATAGTTGCTGCAGCTGCTGCTGCGCTATCGCTGCTACTGTTGCACGATCGGCTGTTGCTATCGAGATCGCTGTGCTGTGTGTAACAGCTGCCGCAGCTCCAGATTCTGTATACGGTGCTAGGCTGATGCTTTTTGGAATTACAATTCCTAATACCTTACTGTAGTCTTATTTTAGCAGGTATGTTTCACAGAGGCTCGTGTCGGGTGGTTCGGCCTACATTCGCTGACCGAACCACTTTGCAGGAGGCCTGTCGATACGTCTGGGACCAGTACAGTGCTGTACTTGGTTCCCTCAGCTGGTCCAAATCTTTGCCCGAACCTCCAAATCAATGCTGCTCCGAACATCCGCGAAATGGAACGCGTTCCCGAGCTAACAGTCAAAACATTCTCGCTGTTACGAGTGCAATTGAGTGAGCGAGCGAGAATTGCACTATCGAAGCAAAACAGTACATTGAGCGAAGGCATGAGCGAAGAATATATAGCGAAGCTACAGTGGTAACGGTAATGCGTGAAATTGGGGTGCGCGACGGGCCTAGTGCCGAGGTTGGGAATTGTCGAGGCGGAGGTCCGGAGCACGGGTTACCAACCGAACCGTGAGATTGGGTCGCGTCGTGAACAGTGGCGGGAACAGTAGCCGAGGCGAGCGTCGCGAGTGGTAACGGTTTACTGTTGGGTGCTGTTGGCGGGAACAGTGGTGTACGCGCAGAGCATGGACGCGAAGTAAGGAAAACGAATTTTCCTTACACTACCCCTTCCTCCAAGGAGGTCCTCCTTACGAGAGCACGTGTACATCCCTGAAATTGCGGCTGCGTAGGCACTCGGTGAGGACAGGGTGGTTTTCAATTCTGTCTAGGGGAACCCAGTTGTCTTCAGTGGGCGTGCGGACTTTCCAGCGGATCAGGAATTCGATCCTGCGAGCTCCCCGTGGGTCCCAAACTCGGTGGCTTAAGATTTTCTCGGGCGTGATGATTGGCTCTGTTGGCGGTCGTGTCATGCTAGCAGGGCGGTTGCGAGGCAGTTGGCTAGTGGATGGGATATGTGGGCGAAGCAGGCTGACGTGGAACGACGGGCTGACGTACCATTCAGCAGGGAGGAGGAGGTGGGCAGTAATAAGAATGATCATGTGACTTATGCGGAATGGCCCACAATATCGAGGGTGGAGTTTTGGAGTAATGGGCAGGCGGAGGTTTTGGGTGTCGAGGAGTACGAAGTCATCGGGTTGGTAAGTGACGAGGCGGCGGTGGCGGTCGGTGTTGTGTTTAGCGATGATGTTCGATTTTTTTATTGTGTCTGCTGCCCGGGTCCGTGCTGCCTGTGAAATTCCTGCAAACTGTTGTGCTCGTGATACTGGGTTGTCGGGATTCGGGGTCATGGGTACAGTGGGATCTTGTCCGTAGTTCATGTAAAACGATTACTATTGGGTCGTGGCGGATGGCGAATTGCTGTATGCGAACTTGATGAGTGGCAGTTGCTGTTCCCACATGGTCGGGTCGTCGCACGTGGCTCGGATGAGCTGTTCCATGGTCTGATTTGTCCGTTCTATCTATCCGTCGGTTTCGGGGTGGTACGAAGAACTGAACTGTAGTCACGTGCCGAACTGTTGCCGCAGGTTCCGCCAGAAGTTGCTAGTGAATTTCGTGTCGCGGTCGCTAATGATCGATGCTGGTATCCCGTGCAGTCGAACGACGGTGGAGATGAAGAGGCGGGCTGTTTCTTTGTGATTGATTTCTTGCAGGCTGCGCAGTGTGCCATTTTCGTCAGCCGATCGACGACGACCAGGATCGCGTCGTTCTCACTTGCTCCGGCCGGTAACCCCGTGACGAAGTCCATCATCACCTGCTGCCAAGCACGCTCTGGGGGTGGTATCGGCTGCAACTGTCCTGCCGGCCGCTTCCGTGATGATTTCATGAGCTGGCATGTGGGACTCGATGCCACGTGTCGTTGTACGCCGGTCAGCATCTCGGGCCAGTAGTAATACCGCTGCAGCTGCTGCCGTGTTTTCTCTACTCCGAAATGTCCTGAGGTAACCCCGTCATGCGCCTCCTGTCATAAAAACTCCCTTAGTAAAGTGTAGACCGATACTTCGATGCAATCGGTGCCGGCTTTTACGTAATAAATCCCTTGTGCTGCTGCGAACTGCTGCGAGTTGCCTCCGGTGAAGAAGGGGTCTGTATGGTAACCGTGGGTAAATAGTCCTGTAAGTAGTGGGCTGGTCTGGGCGAGTAGTATGGCGTGAATTTGGGCAGTGGGGCGGGTCATTGTCAGAACATTATAGCTTTTACATTTGTGTAGGCTATAGTGGGGTAGCCCATAAGGGGTACAACCCAATTAGGGTTCGTACTTGTACCCAACTATTTCCTAGTTCATTCATTCCCGTTCGTTACTTTGACATGGTTTCAGAGCAGGTCCCTTCTAGGACCGTTTTTTTTTTTTTTTTTTTGGGCCCACCACCTGCTGCCCTGCTAGCCACCCTCGCGACCCGTAGGCCCCCTAGGCCCCGTCGCCCCTAGCCACGGCCCCTTGGCCCCGTCGCCCCTAGCCGTGGCCCCTTGGCCCCGTCGCCCCTAGCCGCGGCCCCTAGCCCGGCCCCTTGGCCCCGTCGCCCCTAGCCACGGCCCCTTGGCCCCGTCGCCCCTAGCCGCGGCCCCTTGGCCCCGTCGCCCTAGCCGCGGCCCCTGGCGACCCGTCGCCCCTAGCCGCGGCCCCTAGCGACCCGTCGCCCTGTCGCCCAACACCTTGCCCCTTGGCCCCGTCGCCCCTAGCCGCGCCCCCCCCTCGCGATCCGTTGCCCAGTCGCCCCTAGCCGCGGGCCCGTCGCCCCGTCGCCCCTAGCCGTGGCCCCATCGCCCCGTCGCCCCGTCGCCCTAGCCCCGGCCCCTAGCGACCCGCGACCCGTCGCCCCTAGCCGCGGCCCCGTCGCCCCGTCGCCCTAACCTCAGCCCCTAGCGACCAGCGACCCGTCGCTCCGTTCCCCCCCTCGCCTCGGCCCATCGCGACCCGTCGCCCCTAGCCGCGGCCCCGTCGCCCCGTCGCCCTAGCCTCGGCCCCTCGGCCCCTCGGCCCCTAGGCCCCACGCCCCTCGGCCCCTTGGCCCCTCGGCCCCTTGCCCCCCCCCCCCTTCGTGTTTGGCCCCTCGGCCCCTAGGCCCCTCGGCCCCGCCCCTCGGCCCCTAGGCCCCTAGGCCCCTAGTCCCCAGGCCCCTCGGCCCCTTGGCCCCTCGGCCCCTAGGCCCCCCCCCTTCGTGTTTAGCCCCTCGGCCCCTAGGCCCCTCGACCCCGGCCCCTCGGCCCCTAGGCCCCAGGCCCCTTGGCCCCTTGGCCTCTCTGTCCTTGCTGCTACTACTGCTGCTACTGCTACAGCTGCTACTGCTGCTGCTGCTGCTGCTGTTGCTACTGCTGCTACTGCTACTGCTGCTACTGCTACTGCTACTGCTGCTACTGCTGCTGCTACTGCTGCTACTGCTGCTCCTGCGTGCTGCACAGCTGTGGCTTCGCTTAGGGTTCTCGCGTTCGATCATGAGGGCAGACCGGTTCAATTTGACACGTGGCTCGACGACCTGCAGCTGTACCTACTGAGCTATTCTAAGGACAGTGTTTCGCTAATTTGACCTTGCGTCAGGCGCCGCTCCTGCCCCTCCCGCCACAGCTGACAGTGCGACTCGCTCACAGTGGCTTACTCGCGACACTGCTGCCCGCTTGGCCATTCGCAACCACCTGCCGTTAGCCGAATGTGCCCACTTTGGACAGCACAGGACAGCACAGGCACTGTACGACGCTTTCGTCGCTCGCTACTCCTCGCCTGCCACTGCTGCTCTAGGCCGCCTGCTTCTGCCCTTCCTGTTCTCCGAGCTGTCAACCTTTACCATGGTAGAGGACCTTGTTTCCCACCTGCGCACTAGTGACGCTCGCTACCGCGCTACCGTCCCTACTGAGTTCCTTGACAGGAACCAGCCCCCGATGTTCATCACCCTCTACTTCATAGTCACTCGCCTCCCTGACTCTCTTCGCTCTGTTAGGGACCACTTTCTCTCACTTGACCCCACCTCCCTCACTGTTGACCTATGCCAGTAGCACCTCCTCGCAGCTGAGACTAGTGCAGATGCTGTAGGTGCTGCTCGCGGCACTCCGCGCCCGCCCTTCTTTGAGGGGTGCTCCCCCTCCCCCCTTGCCCCCTCTTACGCCTCTGCCGCTGCTGCAGACGTCCCTGGTGCTGAGGACGTCGGAGCTGCTTCTGCTAGTGCGAAGCGCCACAGCGGCAAGGGCAAGGGTAGCAGGGGTGGTGGAGGGGGCAGCGGGAGTGGTGGTGGGGGCAGCAGTGGAGGTGGTGGAGGCAGTGGAGGTGGTGGCAGCGGTGGGACTGGTGGAGGGGGTGGAGTTGTTGGTGGCGGCGGTGGAGGCAGCGTGGGAGTGGCGGCAGTGGCGGCGGTGGGACTGGTGGCGGTGGGACTGGCGCTCGGCGTGGAGGTTTTGGAGGTGGCCAGCGTCAGCAGCAGCAGTGTCGGAGCGAGACCCAGTCGCCCCGACACCTTCGTGAGTGGTTTTTGCAGCGTGGGGCGTCTGGGGGTAGTGGCTGCTGCCCGTATGTCATTCGCACGGGTGACCGTGCTGGTCAGACATGCGGGAAGCTTCACACTCAGCACCGCTGCTTCTCCCGCCTCGACGACGCTTGGCGTGCTGAGTTTGGTGACGATGTCGAGCTCCCTCGCTGGGCTGATCTCCTTAGGTCTAGGAGTGCTATCTTTGACCT